AGTCACAAAAGGACAAATACACTGCATGGTGCCACTGTTGTAAAAAAGGACTGACATCAGGGTTGGGGAGAGACTGAGAAAATGGGTTCAATGCAATGTATACTGCATTGAAACAGATGAGGGAGAAAACTGTTTAAAAGGGATATGTGATTGGGTATTTTTGTCATGAAAGGAGTCTAGAGAGAAGGCTGCATGGTGGAGTGGAACTGGGGGAGGATTTGTAAAACAATGAAAGAACTTGTCTTACTTTTCCAAGAGGGTAGTGAACTAGGTAGGGGGGAGGGTTGGGAGGGGAGAAAAGTACAACAATCAATGAATGGAAATCCAAAGTCTCTGTAAATTTTTACTGAAATTAATTATAAATTTTTAAAAAATCCCAAAGACTTTAAAAATTTTTCTCTCTGCAGTATTGAGGAAATGATGTTTATTACTTACATACTAAACATAATTTTTCAATAAATGTTCTGCCATCTTACTGATTGAGACATCATGAAAAGTGTTACTTACGGAAACATTTTTCACGTTTTTCTCAAAAGAGAAATGACCAGACTCTTTAGAAAAATTAAACTTGTATGCATCAGCCGATTCTTCTCGTAATACCAATGCTTTCCTCAGTTCATCAATGTATTTCTCTTTGTCCATTGCCATGTCATCTGCTTCTTGAGAAATCTCTGAATCAGAAACTTTGAGAAACAAAAATTTTGAAATGAAACAAATTTTTAGCATGAGAAAATATTTACCTATTGCTAATTATTTTCCATTTATACAACATAAAATTAAAAATCAAATTCTAATTTACATCATTTATATTTCCTGAAAACGGAATTTATTCCTATCTTAAGTCCTAAGTTTTTGCTCCTTCTGGAATATCTTTTTCTTCTGTGTAACCTTTTCTTCAATTAGATACAATTTGTTCCTTTTAAAGAAAGACAATCTTAGTGTGGCTGAGAGAGCTCTTTTAGGCAACCATGAGTTTTGTCAATGTGACAGCACACCTTGGGGAGTTTGTTCATTTTGTATGTTTATTGACCAAAAAAAAACCAAACCAACATCTAAATCCTTAAATTCAGCAGTACTCTCTGTATTTTTATGTACATACATCAAAAATTCAGCAACTGAAAATGCTATGGCTTTCATCATCCACACCTTCACCTTTAAATTGATAGCTTTGTTCTTTAATGCTTTAGAGAAGTCCTTGACAGCAGATTTCCCCAGCGCAACAAATCTTTTGATTTCCTGACTGCTGCTACCAAGGGAGCTGACAGAGCATCTAAGCAAAATGAAATCCCTGACAATTTCAATCTTTTCTTTATCTATATGATACTGTCTACTGGTCCAGAGGTGAGAATTTGTTTCCTTGATGTTGAGATGTAACCCATGTTGAAGACTGTAGTCTCTGATATTCTTCACTAAGTGTTTCAAGTCTTCACTTTTTGAACAAAAGATTGTTTAATCATATACTCCAGCTTCTTAAATTCCTTGTTGAGCATACAGACTTAATATAGTTGCTAGAAAAGGATAAAACCCCACACATAACTTTCCTGATTTTGAACCTCAGTGTTCTCTTCTTGTTTTTGGATAACTGCTTCTAGATTTATGTATAGGTTTCATAGGAGCACAATTAAGTTCTGGGGTTACTACTCTTCTCAATATTTATACACTTACCCAGGAAAAACCGGCCAGAGAGGGAAGATGGGAAGCTGCGCACTGGGGAAGGTCACCTCGGATAACAGCAAAGAGGCATCTTTCAGGTAAAACTCAGGAAAAACCAGCCAGAGAGGGAAGACAGGAAGCTGCACACTGGGGAAGGTCACCTTGGATAAGAGCGAAGAGGCATCTTCCAGATACCCAGAAAAACCAGCGGGCCCTCGGGCCAGAAAGGAAAACATAATCTACACAGGAGTTCTATAGGACACGTCACCTTCCCTTGGAGACAGTACAACTAAACTTAAGAGACACTGGTCAAAAGAAAAAAAAAATGTCAGCAGTTGACTTGTTTGGAATCACAGAAGCCAAGAAAGCTTAAGATACAAGCTGTCAGATCATGGGTTGGACAATGGAAGATATTTTCTGAAGGGACTTG